CAGAGTGAGCCCGCGGTGGATCCCAGCGGGACCTTCAGAGCCTGGCTTTGCTTCAGCTCTGCCAGGCACTAGCTGTGACTTTGGAAAGCCACAATTTCCTCATCTGAGAAACGATGAGGGCGGTTTGAATTAGTTCATCTCTAAGGCTCTGTCCCGGCTCTGCATTGCTCCCTGCTCCCGCAAACACACCCCGAGGGCTGAGGCTCGGCCCCCCCTCAGGTGCTCTCCGTCTGTCGGGCGAGGGGAGCGCCGGGAGCGCGGGCTTTGGTGGCAAGAGCTCCTGTCCTTCTTGTTGAGGGGAGGGTGGCAGTCGGCCTGTGAGCCCTGGAAGGAGAGCAGAGGGGCCCACTGGGAAGGTGGGCCCGAAGACGCCGGGCAGTCCCTGCAAACGCGTCCTTGGGACGCCAAGGCAGACCCGGCTTTGGGCGAGCGGGGCGCCGCTCTCCGCGCTCACCTTGCGGCCGTTCACGTAGAAGAGCAGCTCGAGCGCGGGGTCCATGGTGGCGGCTCCGACGGCGGGGTCGGTCGAGGCCAGCGCGGAGGCGGCGGCGCCCGGGACCGCAGGCGCCCGGCTGGGCGGCGCGACCCGACGGGTGGGCGGGGCTTGCGGAGCGAGAGTCCGACCGAGCCCCAGACGGGGAAGGTGCGGGGTAGGCGCCACCGTTCCCGAGCTCCCCGCCGGGAAGGCGCTCCGTGGGGGCAGGCCGCACGCGAGGGCGGGCACGACGCCCAGCCGCCCGGCCTGCGGCGCTTCGCGTCCCCGCCGCACTCTGGCGGCTCGGCGGATCCGCCGCTTTGGTGAGCGTGGGTTACTGCCGCTATCCCGCGGCTTTCCAGCTAAGAGATGGGTCTGGCACCAGCGGCACCTCCCTCCCTCCACAGCTGCTGCGGTTCTGCCCTCTCCTCCGCAGGGAGGATCTTAAGGACAATGAATGGTTTTACAACTCAAGAGTTTTAGAAATCGTTATTCAAGTTTATTTTTCAAATCAAGAGCTACCTTGATATAGAGATAAACTTTTAAAAAATGTTTTATCACTATTTGCAGTTCATCTGGTAAATACCAACAGAGATGTTAAACATCTCGGAAAACTGTTTTAAAAAGTAAAACTTTGAAAATACTGAAAAGTATAAAAAGAAAAATCACCTGTAAGCCCACAATTTAGGATTTACCACTCTTAAAGCTTTTGGGTTCATCTTTACATTTTTGAAATATGCACTATAACACCTTTAAAAATTCCAGTGGGATTAAACTAGTTATTTTCCAGACTTCATTTTAACATACCTAGAATATTTTCCCATATTTCATTTACATAAACACAAAATTTTATTGTGAGATTTTCCAAAATTTGCACATGAAAGTGAAGCATACACGTAGCATCAACCTACCCCTTACTAAACTTTAATGATTCAACGTTTTGCCACATTCCCTCATTTTTCGGCAGTACTTTTAAGCCAATCCCAGACACATTTTATTCCTAAATACTTCAGCACACATTAAAAACACACACATTTTATTACTCAGTCACAGTGCCATTTCTCAGTGTCTAAAAAATGTCTTTTACACTTGATTTCTTTGAATCCAACAGGGCTGCTCAATGTATTTGCTTGTGTTGTCTTCAGTCTCTTTTAATCTAGAACAGTTTCCTCACTGCCTCCCCCACCTTTTTTTTAAAACACTATCAACAAGTCTAAGAAGAAACCAGGCCTGTTGTCTTATTGAAATGAACCACATTTTGATTGTGGCTGATTGCTTTTCTCCAGTGTTACTTGTTCTTCTGTCCTACTTATTTTCTACACACTGAATATTAGATCTAAAGCCCTGATTAAATTCAGGGTCAATTTTTTTTGGAGGGCAGAAAGAATACTTCATAGTATTCTTGGTGCCATGAAGTCTGGTTGTCCCACTCTTAATAATGCTACGACTGATCAGTGGGTTCAGTATCCCTTCATAATGAATTTCTCCAACAATCTCACCTAATGGTTTCACATCCATTGTTGAGCACTGCCTGAATAGTTATTTTATTAGGATGCTGCAATTTTTCTAATTCTAGTATTTCTTCTGCATTCATCAGCTGGGATCCTTTTGACTAGAACTCCTTCCTTCAGTAGAGCTATTGACTGTGCATAAATTAAATTCATACCAGAAAGGCAAGATAAGTTTGTATTACTTTCCCTTAAATTATAAATTTTCAGAGTATTGAGTTACTTCCAGTAGTATCCAATGTTTTACTTTCTCTCCCCCCTTATCAATTATGAATTTATGACTTTTCCTATAGTTAATATATTTTCATCAATTGTAATCATCATTCTTTAAGATGCTATTTGTCTCAACTTAGGCCGATGAAAGCACCTTCAAATTAGAACCTGTGTCCTTTTGATATGCTTGTATTAGTTTTTGATAATTTCCTTGCTTTCTGGCACAATAAGATGCCTCAAGCTCACCTTGTCTATATCCTGTTCCAGATTGGTTCCTTAATACATTAACTGCCAAGTGAGTCATATTTAACTCACATAGTTTTTAGCCTGGGGCCTCATGAAGCATCTATAATTCACATCTCTTTACCTTGGGAGCCACGAGAACTATTTTTCAAGTTGCATATAACTTACACACAGAAAACAATAAAAAAAAACCATACATTTGTCATTAAATTAGAAAGGATCATTTTATTTTTGAAGTTTTTATTCTATTTTCATAATAAAACACTGTGACTTTAAGGAATGTTTTTTCTAGTGTGGCAGTATGTTAAAATCAGTAATAAGTATTTAGAAACCAAAATCTGGGTGCTAGAGGTGCTCATTGCCAATGAGTTGTCATTGTTTTTACACATTTTCAGGGGGCAGCACCAGGAAATACAAAATTTTAAAAAGAAGGGTGAAAAAAGCACATATTCACACTGATATTTCTAATTAAAATTTAAGATTACAGAGGTTTTAAAAAAATCTTTTTGGATTATAATTGTATCCCTTTCCTCTAAGCCAACAATCTTGGTTCTAAAACCTTAACATAATTGCTTTATCCTGTCCGTAGATGTACTTCAAAATAACCACACGATATTATAGTAGCAATAAAACTAGCAAGTGAAAGCTTAATATTTCTTTGTAGTTTTTTTAATACTTAAAGATTAGAAGATTACATTCTATTGAAGATGTAAACTCAAAATACTTTTTCTAAGGTCAAGTGTCTGTTTTCTCTGTCACCAACTTGATAGAAAATTATTTTCATTTTAGGTTGCTTTCAAATACTGTCCCCCCTACTGATGGCAATGTTGGTTGTTCTTTTTTGTTATTGTTATTACAAACCATGCCATAGTGCAATTTTGTATTTTTGCAAGAGGAATTTTGGTAGTTTCCTAAAATAGGATTGTAGGAGCAAATGATAAATGCGTATGTAATTTTATTGAATATTGTCAAAATCTTTTCTATAAGGTTTATTTTATTTTGCATTCTTTCAGCAATGTATAGACACAAACTGGGGTAAGTGTGCATACATTAGGGAAGAGGTTGGGATTATTAGACCTGAGAAACTTGGAGGAGACCTCAATAAGCCACTCTTAATATCTCAGGAGCTAGGAAAAGGGCTTCCAGAAGTCAGAACTCAGACCTTTAAGAATGGGGTGCAGCAAAAATGGTGCTTATACGTCAGGGGCCTGAAAAAGCTTCCTTGAAAAGGTAGACCTGCAGCCTCTGATGAAGGGACACAATCCAACTAGTGATGTTACCTCCAAGAGAGCATAATGGGGCTGGTTCTAGTAGTGCTAAAACCAACTGCTGCCCTAACCTACTGCTGCTGCTGGGTAAAACACCATTACTTTGATGACACTGACAAGAAGAGCATGCAAACAGGAAGGAGTGAATTCCTTTTCACTCTGATTTCCATCCCCTTCTAGTGCCCCTTATTAACAGGAGCTAAAAAGAAGTCAGCTAGGAAAGAAAAATATTTTTGAGTCCCAGCATCATATAGCAATGTATACAGAGGTGGGCTGAGTTGAGACAATGGTTAGCACACATTAAAAAGGGGGATTTGTTCCATGAAAACAAGAATGCTTTGGTATCAGCAAATCTATGTAGCTTATCATGTTGATATATTTTTGTGCTGATTATTTTGCTATTATGTCTCAGCTTTAAATCCATACTTCTTTATTCCACTTTAAGGACAAGACTTTGCAAATGAGTTTTCTTCTTTGCCAGGCTTCCTGTTAGTCTCTACCAAGAGAGGGTGTTAGAGGCAAATTGGAAGTATAGAGTAGAAAGGAGAAAAGTGCTTTGTTCCTATTAGCATAACCACAGAAATGATTCACCTTGGCAGCAGCAATTGACTTCATCTACAGCTGGCTCCATCTTATCAGACCAATCTCATCATATCCCTTATGGGAAACTGGCCCCAACCAGTTGCAGTGTCCCAGGTCCTGAAACTCTTCCTCCAAGCCATTCCAATTCAGCAAGTTCACTCTTTTTGCCTTTGGTCTCTCAGCCCTGGAGGTGGTAGGTGCTTCTTATATTTACTTCCTCTATGATACTCCAGTAGTCCCTTCTGCCTTTCCAAGTCTTTTTTCATTTCCCTATTATATATGGTTAACAATTAACCATTGTGGTTTCTGACCCTTGGCTGGACCCTAACTACACAATCACTATTAATACCAAAAGTTGTTTGTTGAGATTCAACACCCACTCATGATTTTTCAAAAAAAGCACTCAAGCTGGACATGGTGGCTCATGCCTATGATCTCAGTGCTTTGGGAGGCTGAGGCAGAAGGATGGCTTAAGGCCAGGAGTTGGAGACCCGTCTGGGCATCATAGATCCCATCTCTACAAAAAATAAAAACAAAAAATCAGCCAGGTGTAGTGGTGCATTCCTGTAGTCCTAGCTACTAGGGAGGCTGAGGTAGGAGGATGGCTTGTGCCCAGGAGTTTGATGTTATAGTGAGCTCTGATCACACCACTGCACTCCAGCCTGGATGACAGAGCAAGACTCTAAAAATAAAAACAAAAAGGCACTCAAATAATAATGGATAGATTATACTTTAATGTGATTATAAATATACATAACGAGGCCAAAAACCACCATCTTCCTTAATGAATTAAAACCAGAGGTGTTCCCATAAAAAATCAGGGATGAGACGAGGATACTTACTATTCCTACTACTATTTAACATTTTACTTAAAGTAGCAGCCATGCATAAGATAAGAGAAAGCAATGGGAAGTATAAGAATTGAACAAAGAGGTAAAAATAGTGTGGTTTTCAGGAGCTATGTCTGGAAAAAAGTACTACAAACAAAAACAGTTTAGTAATTAACATACAGAAATCAATAGTCTTTATATATGCAAACAGTAATTAGAAGAGAGAATCAAACAGAAGACCTCATTTATACTACTAAGAAAAAAGATAAAGTAGGCATAAATTTATCAAGAAATGTACAAAACCTATATGAGGAAATCTTTGAAACTCTTCTAGTCTCTATAATTTAAAGTGTATGGTATTGGGCATAAAAAGACACACAGACTAGAAGATAGCAGAAAATCAAAAAACAAATTTAAGTGCACATGGAAATACAACATTAAAAGGTTGCATTTCAAAATAGTAGTGGACAACAGGACTTTTTAGTTAATAGGGAATCATTTAGAGAAAAGGTCAAAATTGCATTCATACTTCACACCATACAATAAACAAATTCCACATGAATTAGAAATTTAAAAAATAAATGAAGCCATTGGTAAATGTTTTTATAACCTGGAAGTAGGAAAATTTTTTCTACTGTGGCTAAATTCTAGCAATGGTAAAGGATAAAGGTTGATAAATATGACTATAAAAAATAATTGCATGGTAACAGAAAAAAGAAAACTCTTACAGAAAGATAAAATAGAAGGAAACAATAGGAATAAACATATAATACCAGAGTGACTCTAGGAGGCCCAAAGTCTTAAAGTAATAGTTCAGGAAAGAGAACAAAGACTGTCAGAGTTTCAAGCTCTTAACCACGGTGTAGACTGTTACTTTAATAAAGCTTCTAGCCTCCATTCAACTGACATTGTTGGGTGGCTGTTCTACCTTAGCAGTTGGAAATGTCATCTTTAATATTATGAATAAGTTCTGTGGTACCCTGTACCCCTACGGCAGTCTCTCAAAGTGTAGAACTAGAAAAATTTGCTCCAGGCTTCCCTGAAGTGTTTGTTAAATGCAGATTTCTGGGCCCACACCTTCAGTAGTCTGATATTATCTAAGAAAGCTTTTCTATCTAGCCAGCATAAAGTTTGACTAGTAATTTTAATATAAGCTGAATATCAATCTCAGATATGAATAAGATTTATTACTTATTACTAGAATAATAAGTGATCTTTTTAGTTACAAAAACCAAATTCAAAGGAACTTGAAAGATTAATCTGTCCCCCAAGTCATCAGATTACATATAATGGAAGTAATAACAAAACTGACACCTAACACAAGTATTTCAGAAAGTAGAAGAATGAAGGGTAAGAGAACACTAGCCAGGGTAGGATGTGACTTTTAAAACCTTTTAGATGCTCACATATACCGAATGGAACAAAACAAGATAGCTTGGTATACAAGATAACCAATGCAAAAGTAATAATTAACACAGTTTATTTGGTTAAAAGGTTAATAACTGGTTGTTTGGTTAAAGGCTATTAGGTAGAAACAAGCTTAAATAACCACGAAGATGTTAGGCGATGACCAAAATGATTTTAAAGTTTAATATTACAAAATTTAGATATGTGCTATTTTATGCACATATATCTAAACATAAGAATGGACAAATCAACACTCCATGAAAAGGCCAAAGAGGAAAAAAAAGCAAACTTTTCGTCAAATGTTTCATCTTCTTGATCCTAGTTATGTTTCTGTTTTGACTCATTATGCTTTGAGAATTCAGAAAAACCAGAATCCATAAATTCACCTCATCTTCTCATTTTGCTGCAAAGTAGAAAAAAGGGTAGATTAATAATAACAACACAAAACTAGTATTTGCTGTGAAGCAGGGAGAAGAAAATTGTTGCATCTTACCAGTAGAAAAGCAGTTTCCTTAAACCACAAGCTTTCCTACATATTTGAAATACTCTACAATAGTGGGAATTATAAGAAAATTATAATTATAAGAAAATTATAATTCTTATAATCTTAAATTATAAGATTAATTTAAGAAAAATTAATCAACATAGATTTTACACACTGCATGCTTAACTATATATTTCCTTTTTATTAAGAAATGTAGGGCAGGCGCGGTAGCTCATGCCTGTAACCCTAGCACGCTGGGAGGCCGAGGTGGGCAGATCGCTCAAGGTCAGGAGTTTGAAACCAGCCTGAGCAAGAGCCAGACCCAGTCTCTACTATAAATAGAAAGAAATTAATTGGCCAACTAAAAATATGTAGAAAAAATTAGCCAGGCATGGTGGCACATGCCTGTAACCCCAGCTACTTGGGAGGCTGAGGAGAAGGATTGCTTGAGCCCAGGAGTTTGAGGTTGTTGTGAGTTAGGCTGATGCCATGGCACTCTAGCCAGGGCAACAGAGTGAGACTCTGTCTCAAAAAAAAAAAAAAAGAAAGAAAAAAGAAAGAAGAAAAAGAAATGTAGCACACATCCAACAATAAATGAAAATGTACAATTGAAAAATAATAAGATAAATGCTCATGTTCCATTCACCCGAGTTAAGAAATAAGGTATTACCACATCTCAGAAGCTTCCAGTGTATTACCTTCTGGTCACGTCCCTCTCCTCCCCAGAAAGTAACCACTATCCTGAATTTTATTAATCATTCCTTTGCTTTGCTTTACAGTTTTTACCACTGTGTACTGCACTCCTAAAAAGTATATTGTTTGGTTTTATCTACATTTGATCTTTTTATCAATGGAATAATACTGTCAGTGTTTTTCTGTGATTTGCTTTTTCAACTCAACATCTTTATTCATTTTTTTCAAGCCTCTCTTTTCTTGAAACATCAGACATACTTATTTTATTTAATATATTCTATGTACGATTCTCCTAACAGCTGTTTCTGCTGGTACCTTGTTCCCTTGCATGTGTAGTATTTTTCTTAACTGTGAGCTAGCTGTTCATTCCCTTTGGAAGTTTGGCTGTGGAAAATATGTTGAGACGTGAGATGAAGGAGGACTCCCTAGAAAATATTAGTATTTGCATTTGCTTCTGACAGACAATAGATGCATCCAAGTTTTTTTGCTTTTTAGTATTTTATCCAGTGATTTTATCCTTTCAGTAAGAGTGCTGATCCATGACCCAGTATACCATGTTGTAAGAAGTGGAGTTATATTTATTCTTTACATATTATATATATGTGTGTGTGTGTACACGTATGTGTTTTTGGATGAAATACATGCACATGGTCCCAAATTAAAAAGGTCTAAAAGATTAAATGGAAAGGTTTCTTTCCCTCTTGTGAGCCAAAATTATATTAATGCCTTGGGTAATTAGAATTTACTTAATCCTTTCAAAAGAAGTTACCGATTCTAACCTAAGTATAGCAAAATGAAATAGTGTTCTATTTTAGTTTAGATCTTGTGCATGCAGATTATTTGCTAAACAGCTCAGTTGGTAAATTCTTTAAAAGGAAAAATCACAATGAACATTTAGTACAAATACTGAGCGATGACCACCCTGCTGCCATTTTCTTTTCTCCTTCTTTTAGGATTGGATAGGGTATGCCGCAGGTATATCATAGCTCCTGGTAGCTACCGTAAGAATAGATCCCGATTGAAGCTGCTCACTATTATGAAATGATCACCATAGGCAATGATGATAGGAATGGCAAGAGTTATCAGGAAGGGAACACAAATGTGTTTTTATAGTTTTTATCCTTTAAATCCCAGAGCATAGAATGTGACAATTTCAGAAATTTGTAATAGTAAAGGCCACCATCCACAATGAGTATATAATAATTTTGATATTTATGCAGCAAAAAGCAGAACCACGACCTTTCTGAAGCAAAAGCTACAGGGAGGTATGTGGAGAGATACATAACAGATTTTAACATACCACTCTCAAGATGACAGATCAAGTGGATAAAAAATAAGTAAGGAGACAGAAGATGTAAGCAATATAATCAACACAGTCTTTGGATATGTACCAAATTTTACACCTTGCTTATGGGGAACACTACTCAAGTGCTCCCAGCACAGTTACAAAAGCTGATGATGTATTAGGTCACAAAGGAAACACTGGTAACTTTCATAAAGTAGAAATATTATAATAAACAATCTCTGTCCACAATAAAACTAGAATTTACAAAACAAAAAAACTTGATCAGCCCATCTATCCGCAAATTTTACTTTATTTTGAGGTAAGAGTCTCGCTTTGTTGCCTTTGTTGGAGTACTATAGCGTGATTGTAGCTCAATGTAGCCTCAAATTCCTGGGCTCAAGTAATTCTCCTGCCTCAGCCTCCTGAGTAGCTGAGACTACAAGTGCAGGTCACCATGCCCCGCTAGTTTTTAAAATTTTTTATAGAGACAGGATCTTGTTATATTGTTTAGGCTGGTCTCAAACTCCTGGCCTCAAGCGATCCTCCTGCCTTGGCCTCCTAAAGTGCTGGGATTACAGGCCTAAGCCACTGTGCCTGCCCTAGCTAGAAATTTTAAAACCTTCCAATAAATAACTTCCAAGTAAAAAAAGAAATTTTAAAATGACAATGAAAACACTATATATCAGAATCTATGGGCTGCATTTAAAGAATTGATCAGAGAAAAAGGAACTGTACTAAACATTTTTACCATGTTAATAAAAGAATAAAAATAACAAATTGAATTCTCAGCTCCAAAAACTAGAAAAAGAACAAAGTAAATCAAAAGAAAACACAAAGAAGGAAATAATAACTACAAAGCAGGAATTAATAGAGAATAGAAAATAGATATAACTAGTAAATAAAAGTCCTGATTTTTTAGAAAAAATAAAATAGACAAACCACTACCTAACTTGATCAAGGGAAAAAAAGAGTAAAAGCACAAATACAAAAAATAATAAATGACAAAGGTGAAATAATCATTGAAAGAAAAGATGTTTAGGATTCATTTACATGCCCAGTTCATAAGAGACACTTTTATAGACTTTTATGCAAATAAATTTGAAAGCCTAGATGAAACAGATGATCTAGACAGTTTCAGAGAGGGATCCTACTAAACCTTCAAAATCCAGACACTCTCAATGTTTTGCAAATTATATATAAATATAAATATATAATATGTAATGATAAATATATATAAGTTATACTGCTTTATAAATTATTTCATTAAGAGAACCAAGACCTTCTAGATTTCCTTAATACAGCAACTATAATATTATACCTAAGTCAGATAAAGATAATTCAAAGAAAGATAACTATAGAACAATGTCAGTTGTGAATATTGACATAAAAATTCTAAATAAAAAATTTTAGCAAGCACAACACCAAATTATGAAAAACATACATCATGACCAAGCGGAATTTATTTCGGGAATGCAAGATTAGTTCAGTATTAGAAAACTCATCATCAGATACCATGTTAATAAATCTAAGGGAGATTAAGCATATGATAATCCCCACAGATACTGAACAAGCCATTGATAAAATCCAATAATCACCAATGATAAAAACACTCAATAGGCATTCAGAGACACTTTCATAATGTGATAAATTACATATACATACCTCAATCCTAAAGTAAGTATCTTGTTTAATGGAGAGAGAACAGAATAATTTCAACCAAAATCAGGAATAAAACAAGCATGCCTACTATTCCTGCTACTGTTCAACACTGTACTAGTGGTATTAGCCAATGCAATTAGACAAGAGAAAACAATTAGAGGCATACAAATGGGTAAGGAAGTAAAACTATCTATTTTCAGAAGATATGATGGTATACCTGGAAAACTCCAGAGAATCAGTGAGATAAAAGAATAAAAGAATTTAGCTAAGTAGCAAGATATAAGCTTACACAAAAGTGAACAGTTTTGATATACATGAATAACAGTAGGTGTGATTTACATGTCCATTTAGAATACCAACAAAGAAAGTTAAATACTTGTAACTAAATTTAGCAAAATATGTGTAAAGCCTATATAAGTGAAATTTTAAAACACTTCTAAAAGATGTAAACAAACAGACATCCCCGTTATATAGAATTCAGTATTATAAAGATTAATTTCCTAAACTAATGTATAGATTCAGTGCAATCTCAAAAAAATAATAAGCTAGACTAGTAGCCTTCAACTCAGGGTGATTTTGCCTCCCAGTTGACATTTTGCAACATCTGAAGACTTTTTTGGTGGTTATAAATGGGAGGGTGCTACCAACATCTAGTGGATGGAGGTCAGGGAATACTGCTAAACATACTACAAGGCACAGGACAACCTCCCACAACAAAAAAATATTTAGCCCAAAATATCAACAATGCTGAGATTATGAAACTCTGAGCTTGACAAGTCAATACTGCACAGAAGTTCAAATGAAAAAACAAACATTAAAGAATAGCTAGGGAAACAAGGAAAAAGATAAACTATGAGAAGTTTCAGGCCCTACCAGACATTAAAACATACTATGATAAAGCCTCTACAATAAAGTAGACCACTGCAATATATTAAGTTCAGAATTAGACCACCCAAAAATACATATAGAAATTTAGTATAGAAAATCACAAATCTTTTAGATAAAGTTGAATTTTGAAATAAATAAATGGTACTAGGACAAATGGGTAGCCATTTGGAAAGAAAGATAAAATTAGATCCATATCTTATACTACACATAAGAAAAAATTCTAAATGGACTAGAAAGTTATATAAGAAATGAAACTATAAAAATACTACAAGAAAATATGGGTGAATTCCTATTTAACTATACTACAGGGAAAAGCTTTCTAACTATGACTCAAAATTTAAAAAGGATAAAACAAAAAGTTGGGTAAATCTGACTACATAAAGATAAAATTTTT